CAAGATAGCTTTTAAAAACCGAACAACTGAGCCACTATTATAAACCAATGAAACTGATCAAGTTGCCGGATCTATACTTTAATTTTTTTTTTGCAAATTATTATCATCTGTAAATTACTAGATACAAATAAAGTTGTTTCTGTTGTTTGATCTGTCAAAACAACAGTGACAACAAGAACAACAACAACAACAAAATTGGAGAACCAGCTGAGCTGTTTCTTCAATATAAGAAGTAGCCATTTTGCCCGGCCACACATTTTTTTTTTAAACACAACAAACAGTACTTTGCAATTTTAAATGTTTCAATTAGCTGTGGCGTTGAAACTACTTTATTATAAGATATTAATATTAATTCAAAAGATAAAGACGCCTGTGGGCGTATCAGCTTCTTCCATTAATCTTAACTCGTTATAGCTATCTCAATGTTGACATTGACAGTGTCCCGTTCCTCTAACTTGCACCTGTGTTCTCGATTTGTTGGGTCAGATAACGATGAGTATAACAGCAGTTCATAGTTAACATTTGTTCATGTAATAACACGGCGCTGAAACTGTCTACAACAAAAACTTAGCTTCATACTTTCGAGCTGCTTATTAAAAAGGTGGCAAATGAAGAAAAGGGAACCAGTCCCTGGAACTGAGCAAAGGATATTTTATTTGAACACTTTTCAGCAAACCGGTATCTCGTTTATATAAAGAGGCCATTATTTGAGGCGATCAGCGTCCGAATTAAGCACAGACGTCCTTGCACTCAGCTCATTTCCAGATCAGTCAACCAGGATAGTACTTCTCAAAAAGGTAAGAAAGGACCCCAGTAAGCAACGAACTCGGTCAAACAACAAAATGTTTTAGCTGCGCGGTATAATTTAGGTGGAATGGTGAGAAGAATTACGATAAAACTAAGGAAATTCTAAACTCTTCTAGTAGGTAGCAGAGTTCTCGAATCGTGAAGTTGCTGAACAGTTTAACGGGTGAATTTAAAGAGGTGCTTAGATTCGCATCTAGAAGCCAGTGGACTTTGAAGCTGCTACATTGTGTTTGGAGAATTCTTTTATTACCGCAAAAACTCTAACACTGTTTGATTGATCAACGAGAGACGCGTCTCACTCCCAGAGTTAATAATGGGATCTTATATGGTGGTTCTAACTTTTGAGTTTGCAAGCTTATGAAATATACGGTGGTGACCATTCAAATGAATTTCTTTCAGCAGAATTTTAACTTGGTACGATTTGTTTCTTTTACAACTGAATGAAGGTTCGGAATTCTTGTCGAATTGACTGCGGCGACTTCTGGGAGTGAAAGGTCTACCAGTACACATTATTCATACAGTGAAATTGTTTGTTAAATTTACTTGTATGTTGAACAGAAGGTACAACATAGTACAACGAACAACACCATTCACTCAGTACTAATACAGCTTTAGGCTGCATGGGTCCCCGAATGGTAGGCTTCTGAGAAATACAATCGCCCCCTTGTAGGTGTCGATCAAAAAGGGTCGATTTTTCGAGGAGGAGGGCTGATTGAATAAGGAAGTTTATAATTTAGCACCAAGCATTCATCAGCAACAATATTTTGAAACATTATGTTAACCGCAACGAAGAACGTTTAGATAATATGATGACTTGGCCTCCGGCTCTTCAAACCTTGATGATAAATTTAAGCCCCGTTAACCCCCAGGCAGAATATGTTGTGCAGTGAAATTGCTTTATAAATGAATGGTTAGATAAACAGAGCTTAAAACAGTAGAGCAAATAACATCGATTACTAGTAGCAGTTTCTTCGCCTACATTGAGAGCGAGACAGACTGCGGAGAATAATCACTGTATACTGTCGATCAAAAGGGTCGATTTGTCGAAGGCCGATTGAAAGTGGAAGTATATATATGGCTCACGACAATCTGTGAATCTTGAGATATTTGCATATGTGGGTTGTTTCACGCAGAAAATAGACAATATTACATGGTCGCATGGAGGAAAGATAATTGGCCCTCGATCAGTTTCGTTTCGAGGTAAAAGCTGTTTTGAGTTCTGCTGGAGTGGCCGACTGTTGATTGAAATAAATAATAAAGGAAAGGTAGTCTTCCCGTCACTTTAAAGTAAGGTGTAAAGCGCGCACGACATTAGCAAAGTTATGGTTTCCTTTGCCAGTTTCAGTTCTCAATGGTGCTAAACTCGCTTTCTTTCAAGGAAAGTCGCACGCGTACTTGAAAAAGTTCGTCCTGGTAACGGAGATGGAATGTTCATTTTTTCATGATCCCAGGATAGGCCGTCTTTTCTTGATCTTGCAGTCAGATCGCAATTTTACGAAAGATATTGAGGCGAGATCTCGAAAACCGGGCCAGCGCAAGCGCTTTACCGGGATCTCATGAGGAGCCATTAGCAGGCGGTTTTGTTCAACACCGACTAGACTTCCTAAAAAAATATTTAACTAATGCATAAAGAGGTTAGTTTCTAAGACCCTGTTTACAAAGCTCCAGGAATGGACAAGATATCTTCTAGAATTCTTAAAGACAGTTTACCCAGCACGCTAACAACAATTACGCACATTGTGAATAACTCTTTTGTTACCAACACATTTGCACGTGCATGGAAAACAGCAGAGGTTACACCTATTCTCAAATGCGGTAACCCAGATGTCCCTAACAACTATCGCCCCATCTCATAATTACCAATAGTCTCAAAAGTCACTGAAAGGTTGGTTCATGGACAACTTATGGAGCATCTAATTAGAAATAATAAACTGGCAGCACATCAGAGCGGAAATAGAAAGCTTCACTCGACAGAAACAGCTCTGTTGTACGTTACGGATCAGTTGCTCCAGGCTATGGATAGCAAGAAAGTTTCCATCATGGTCTTATTAGATATGTCTAAAGCATTTGATAGTATTCGACACGACATCTTGTTATCAAAGCTACAATATCTCGATTTTTCCCAGGGTGCGTTGGATTGGTTTCAGAGTTACCTTTCTAACCGACAACAGTGCGTTCGAATTGGTGACGCAGTTTCTAAAGTACTCCCACTTGAGTTCGGAGTTCTGCAAGGCTCTATTTTAGGTCCGGCTTTGTTTACAATCTATGTTAACGACCACCTTTCTGTTCCTAAACGTTGTCTATCTGCCTCCTATGTGGATGACTGTAAATTGTATTTGTCCTTTTCACCTGCCGAATTACCCACGTCCATCCTCGCCTTAAACGAAGATCTTACGAGAATATCTCAGTGGTGCTGTAAAAACTCTCTTTTGATTAATCCGGACAAAACTAAGGTTCTAGCTGTTGGATTACCACAACTTTTAAAAAAACTGTCATCATTCAGTATAACACTTTTTGACTAGGAAATAACACCTGTGCCTGTCGTTAAGGACTTGGGTGTTCACACGCCTCAGTTATAACCAACATATCACTGAGACTGCCTCGAAATGCCTTTTTAAATTGTACCAAATGAACAGAATCAGGCATCTCCCGGATAGGAAAACACTTTTGTTAGTAATAAATTCATTTGTCTTTAGTAAACTCCAATATTGTTCAACTGTCTGGAGTAATACCAGCAGCAGCAATATTGACAAGTTACAAAAAGTCCAAAACTTTGCTGGACGAATTATTCTGGGACTAAGAAAGTATGACCATATTTCGGATGGGTTGCGATCGTTGAAATGGCTTCCTATTAGAGAGAAACTCATTCTAAATGACGCTACTATGATGCACAAATGTATTAACAAGCTTGTTCCAGACTTGTTCTTGCTGATATGTTTAAATCACGTTCTCAAGTCCATAATAGACAAACTCGATCATCTGGTGCTTTGGATATACCTTTATGTCGCCTGTCAACAGGGCAGCGCTCCTTTGCTTTCAGAGGAGCCAAACTCTGGAACTCCTTGAATGATAATATTAAGTCCTTAAAATGCCCCAGGAAATTTTAGGCGTCATCTTACAAATGTTTTATTAAGTTGATATATTTTTGTAATTATAATATTATTGTACTTACATTCTTAATTAATTTATATAAATTTGTATTTTTTATTCTATTGAGCTGAAAAGCCCACTTAGGGAGCATCAATAAAGTGTATGTATGTATGTATGTATGTATGGGGACCCCGGTCTAGTGGGGTTGGTTTCTTTTGTTTTCAAGCTCTGGGGGACACAAAACAAAAGAAACCTACCCCACTAGACCGGGGTCCCCCACTCCATGTAAACAGGGTCTAAGAAATCGTCGTCAAAGCCACCTTGTGGTTACTAAGAAATAAAATTATAACCACTTATCATCGTTGTCATAAACTTTTCACTTTTATGTTGGGTAGAAGCGATTTGTCACCAAGCCCATTTATCGGAGTCAGTCAACAAAAATAGCAAAGCTCGAGTTTCTTTTCATATGGAATTTCTGCGCCCATTCCTCAGACGTCATCTGGCGGGGAAACCATTGGTAGCGTCCAGGTAGCGTCGCTTAATGTCGGCGGTTTTCTCAGGCTAAGATGCAATATTTTCTCTCACCTCACTCTTGATATCTGATGATCTTAGAGGACGTTTAATGCTGATCATTTTCATGACACTGCTACAACTGGTGACACTGAATTCCTGACTTAGTGATTCATACAAAGGAGCGCCGACTTTTTTTAGGTTTACCTTCAATAAGCTAAGTAAAATATTCAGCTCCAGTGTAAACCGAAGTTGAATATAAATTTTTTGTCGATATTTTCTCCCAACAAATTCATCCTACTCTAACCTCAAGCGCTACTTTTGTTGTTTTTTTCCAAAGGTGAAAGCAAGACTTTTGATTCAATTTTTGTGACGACATCAAGGAATAGCTTAATTAGGATTGAGGTGAGCGTCCTTTGAATATTTCTCCATTGCAGATCTTTGAGAATTTGAAGTCATTCTTTAAAGTTCACCTCTTAACTTTTCTCTTCCAAATAAGCAACCCTTGCTTACTCAGCGAATTCTTTTCATAGGTAGCCGAGCCTGAAAGAAGACGAGAATTAAAAAGTGGAAAGCGAAAAGAAAAATCCAAGATGTTTTCCTCGTCCGAGTGCATTATCTGGTTTGCTGCATTCCTTGCCGTAACTGTTGCTATAGTAACGGTGAATCTCCTATCAATCATTCTTTTCATAAAAAACAGTAATCTTCGCACTCGTGGCATGTACTTGGTTATAAACTTGACCGTAGTTGACATTTTGGTTGGAGGACTTTCTACTATAAATCTACTCTTAATTATTACACATATTGGATGCAAAACTGGGATTGTAAGGTTACCTTGGGAAGGGCACATGATAACTTGGTTTATTTTCTATTGGTTTCCTCTAACCTCTCTTACAAGCATAACTGTAATTTCGTTAGAGCGGATTCATGCAACATTTCGTCCATTCAGGCATCGCGTTATTAAAAAATGGGTCTACGGAGTAACAATTTCTGTGGTCTGGGTTTTAGCTGGGATGATATCAACTGCAATTTTGATGCTTAAATTATTCGACAAAGAATGGTCACACAGGCAGTTTTTATGGCAATCATATTGCTTGTTATGTCTTTCTATTATCTGTACTTGTTACACCTCAGTTATTGTCAAAATCTGTTGTGGGGCGCGTCCTCAGCACCATGGTGCAGCCCGTAGTCAAAGAAAACTGACTGTAACGTTACTCATCATGACTATTGTATCGTTACTGCTGTGGCTACCATATGCTATAGCTACCTTTGTTTTCCATACAACTAATAGCATTCGATCACTTTCTTACACAAAAGGAATGCGATTGAATATGTCTTTACTGCTTTTATTTTATACAAATTCGTTTGTTAATCCAGTAGTTTACGCTATCAGAATGCCCAAGTTTAGGAAGGCGTGTCTCCTGTTATTATTTACACGTCGACGAAGACGAACTGCTGCTGGTATCCCTCTCAGTCATGCCTGGTACCTTGGCAAGTGATTTCAAGTATGCGAAAAATGTATAATGATTTTCGCCCTGTTACAGAAAAAAGTAATTTCGTGCGTAACTTATTACTAAGTTTGGTTCGATAAAAGTATACTAGATACATAGATATAAAAGGTACTATGATTTTATTTTTACTTATTCTCTATTTTGGAATTCCTCGTAAAACACCCTGTTTACCCCTTACTTCTTTGCATAAACTATTATTTTCACATGCTTCTGGGAGGACTGTATATTCCCAAGAGCGTTTGAGAAACACAACCTACGCAAAATTTTGGGGGCAAGCAGAGCGTATTATGGGAGATTCGAAAATAGTATTTCGTGTACGCATTTGACAAGCTCGTCAATGGTCAGGTAATCGAGATGGTTCGAAATGTGCTTCAGAGCATGTACAGTCGCAATCATGGTTCTATTAATCATGATCGCACTTTGTAATACCTGTCGCAGTCAGAAACAAATAGTGTCGCTCTTGTAATAAACTCAAGCTTTCGCAGTTTGTCAAACTGTCCATCACACTTTGCAATAAACGACACTGTCCTAATTTGAAATAATTCCATCGCACTTTATAATAAACGTTTTGGGTTTTATTTAACTTACTTGGTTAACATTGAGATGTTCTGAAAAACATGAGTGGTACCCCATAATCGAAAGTGATGAAGTCACGCAACACGTTAAATTACGAAAATTGCTCATATCTCCTTCCTTTAAATTTATGGAATAAAAAATAGAAATAAGTCAACCTCTTGCTCAATGATACAAAACCTTTCTTCTTGACGGAATTACTGATTTTATCAAACTTGACTGTTATTGGACAAAATAATTCAAGGCGTTTTTTGTGCCCAATAAGGAGCCAGCATTTTCTTTTCCGTTTGGAAATGGTCTGTTGAGAGTCGGAACCAAGGGACTCTTCCGCCCGTGCTTGAAAACTTTCCTCGTGCCTTTTCTCTCGACCCGACTGACTGCCGCTGGCTCTCCGAGGATGGAGAATGTGATAACTAAAGTTTATTACAAAGTGCAGTGGACAGTTATTACAAATTACGACAGGTGCTTCATTACAAATTGCGACAGTACATGTGCGTGTTTAAAGAAGGTGGCAATCATCCATCACTACTTACTCTTGATTTGCCTCGGGCGAATCTTGGATTTATTCTAACGGGGTCGTTGTAGCAGGTGCGGATGTAGGGGGAGGATGCAGGGGGTGCCCCCCCCACTGAGATGACCTGCGGTTTTCTAATACAACTGGTATTCTGCAAAAAAAAACTATGTGGTTTATTGGTGTTGAAGTAGAGCAAGAGACGAGTGCACCTCCTCCTAAAAAAAATCCTAGATCCGCCCCTGTGTAGACAACCGCTGACAGCGGAAGTATACTGATAGAAAATTTCATTTTCAGCATTTGCTGAATGAGGCTGACTATGAACTGAAGAAGATCGGGGTCTCTATAATTCTTTAGATCATAAGAAAGCCGAATCCAATTACTGTTTAATTTGTTATTGATTTCCAGTTTAAAAACAAGCTAAACCATGCTTACTTCGATCGATGTTAAGTTCCCCTCTTCATTTGCCTGTTTCTCTGCAAGTTCAGGAGATAAAGGGATGATCAGTTCTGCAGATATTCTCCAAATAGTAAATATCTTCTGTCGAGTTGTCAGGGTATTCTTGCTGTTTTTGGCAGTCGTTAGGCTATTTTGTCTTCAGTTCAAAACGTGTGAAATATTCCGCCATTCTTGTACTGCTCTCCCGAAACAACGACAACCTCGACTCCAGGGCATCTGAGTTGCTGTTCATTATTCTCACATTTATGCTATACTTATATTGATTTCATTTTCTATACATCGCAAAACGTCTTCCAAATTTGGTCAACGCTAAGTGGTTATGAACAATTAGCCTTGGGATTTGAGCCAATCAGAAACCGAGAACTATATCTTGAGTGATAAGTGAAATTATGGGATACCAAATAATAATGATTTGGAGAAAATTCAGGAGAAATTCTGGGATTGACTGAGATATTCAGAAAGATGGAGGCTGTCCATCGTGCCAAAATTCAGCTAGTTAGGGTGAGATTAAGCAAAGCTATGCTATGCTGACTCCATCTAATCCTCCTAAAATCAACATGGATCGTAAAATTCAATAATTTCTTAAATTTCGTTTTTGTGACGTCATAACTTCTCTACCTTTAAATTTTAGTGAGTAAGTAAGTCAGTAAGTAAGCAATGTTATGTAACCAATGTAGCCTATTCAGCCACGAGGCTGGTATTCAAAGGATCATGGGAAACAAAGATTTACACCATTTTAAAATTCCCTAAAGTACAAGAAGACATGACAAGAAAACCTAAATAAATTATAAACAAGATTACAACAAGCTTAATTTGCATTGATGACTTTAACAAGATATTACTGTATTGCAAAAGTCACCTGCATTTAATTCTTAATTCTTTAATCAACTGATTGTAGCAACTTAAGAAAAAGAAAAGATAAAAAATTCAATCATTACGAATGGTTTAAAAATGATTGATGTAAGTAGGAGTAGTTATTCCGGAGATAGGTTTGTACTTCAATTCAAAGCGTGTTAAGATGAATGAAATTACTTGTCATGAATATTCATAAAATAGTCAGTTGCATTCATTAAATGTGATAATAATAAGTCTCAAGTCGTAGTAGCAGTAGAAATGGAAATATATAAAAAAAATTGTGTCAAGATAGTAAGAAATAAATGTTATGAATTAAAAATGCTTACTCATCATCATTTTTTAAGTATGTAGGGACGGGGCGCTTTTAATACTGACAAATGGTGAACAGTATTAGGGTCTCCCCGCCTACTTGAAAAGTTATTTTGCCAATATTGCGTTCAGGCTTTGGTTGGCCCAGGTTTTTCGTTCTTCCAGTGCCAGGATCGTGCAAAGTCCATTTTCTTGTAGAGTACTAAGACACCTCAGTACCAGATTATCTGAGCACTTAAAAACCCAAACGCCTTCGTGGATTTTCGGTTCTGAGCTCTTTGCAACACCCTTGTGAGCTTCAATCCACGCAACATCGACAAAGTCAAACGACAGCTGCGGGAATGAAATATATAGTGTTTTGGACGCTTCGTCGTTAAGCATGATCGTATGCGAGAAAATAGCGTCAGTGGAAATTCACCCTAAGGGTCCAGTACATTTATTCAGCGTCTGAATTTGCCGCCTGTCACTAAAAGCATAAGAATTTAGCGACAATTTATTTGAATATTCGCAGGCAATGGGAATGCCAATGACTTAAAATCGCTGGAGGAATCTCTACATTGTAAACATGAAAGCCCTTAAGTCTGACGTCAGACCAACGATTACTTCCATTGCTAATTAGGGACCTTAAGCAAGATGAAACGTTATAGGATGCTTCCTATAGCTTAAAGGCGGGGGGGGGGGGGGGGGGGAGGGAACCTCTCAAGCCGTAGCTCTCTTAGGCCTTTTAAAGGAAGAAGGGATTTATTTTGGGTCGGAGGTTCCCTTCGATTCTCAGGATGCCCTTCGTCGTTTGGAACTATTAGCCTTTTCTTTACTATAAATGTTGCCACTGGCGAAGGGTGTTTGCTCTCAGGAATCGACTCTGGCGATCATGTTGTGCTATTTGTTGATTGATGATGAAACCTTTTCATATAATTTTCATTTATCTTGCATTTTTTCGTCCTGGAATTCCATTTTCCCTTGAAAAGTCCTTAAATTTCTGTGCAAGTCCTTGAAAGCCATCCTCAGAAGCATAAATTTTTCACCCATTATAGCTGATTACCGGATCTTAACGGCGCGACCGTATTAGGTAAACTTGGTCTTCTTTCAGGCTATCACCAGATGCTGCTACACCCTTCATAAACGAAAATCACAGCTCTCTCGACTCACCCTTGGGGTCTGTCAATACAGAACTTGACCTCTGCAATACACAAGACTGAGTTTCCGAGTCAATACTGCCACCGAAATCTTTCAACACATAATCCAAACCGTGAAAGCAAGAGTCAGCAGCTTTCCGAAAGGGGAAAGCGCCAAGGCAGAGGCTGCTGGGGAAATGGAGTCAGTGTTCACCGCAGAAATCCAGGGGTAAAGAGGAACAAGCTCGTCACAAGTTGTCAGTAGAGTCTCCCTGGCGACCACCCCGGAAGAACTCTGAGAGGCTTTGGATAAACAATTCAACGATTTCAAAAAAGCAGAAAAAGGCACAAGTTTAGGCCATACTACTACTTATTTTGTCAGCCGACTTGAACAGTGAAATCAATACCTAATAACTTTTATTTGGTACTTAGTAAAACCCTATCACAAAGTTCTGGAATAGCGCTCTTATTCTACAACTGTATGTCCATAAAATCCTGCTCCAAAAATACTACGCTTTCATTTAATATTTCCCATTTATTTTTCCCCGAACGTAGGCACGGTACATGCATAGAAGAATATGGCGTAAATAGGAGCGATGGCCGCAAAGGGAAGAGGACGTGCGCGTCGCCTCGTGCGTATCCTCCACCCTGGCACACCTCGTTTACCTCGTGCCCCCCCACCTTCTCACAAAACTAGTATAGTGTCACTGCAGAAAATTGTCCAGATCATTAGTCGGACAGGGTTACTAAACCGTGTGCAGGCGCCAAACTTTAAACGGTATAAGTTACCCCGAGTACTTTACTATATTATGTAAAACCCAGAGACGTGAAACTTTCGTGGGATCTTATATTTGGGAGTTCTAACGGAGATGTATGCAGTGACCTGCGAAAATTGCCAATACAATCCCCGCTAAAAAGCTTACATTTCACCGTCACGGTTCTGAATTCCTTCGTCCTTTCTTAGAGTATGAAAACACATTCCCAGAGAATGTCGCCAGAGTCTACCCCCGATCTCGTGCTAATGTTTTCCGTACGGTCTTCATCTATCAATCTCGTATTTCAATCTATGATCTCAAGGGTACTAGGTATTTATCAGAATTGTAGTTGAAGGTCATTTAATCCTGTGGTATAAATCTCCACATGTTGATTGTACCATCATCAGAACATGAAGCTAAGAGACCTAATTCTTTAGGATGCCATTTCACGCCATTAACGTCTTGAGAATGTGCCTGTATGCGGTGAAAAAAGGAATCCGGTTTAAACCTTTTATTCTGTAATTAGTCATTCAAAAGACAGATAATATATCGTACTGAGGTACTAAATATTGGAAACAACCAAACGCTACGTCTAGTCGTTTCAAAGCCGAGTTCAAAAATGAAACACTGACTCCTTAGAGGATCTTGGTTAACTTGGTTCAGAGAAAAAAAACTTGTTCAAAAAGACGATGCTGCTGACGTAAGACATTGAAGATGTAAAATTGTTTTAAACCTTATATATCCGAGTTACCCCGTCGGAAATTTGTCAGAAATTACCCGGCCCCCTTTTTGCTGAAGATGCAGCCAATCCGTTATTATCTTTTGAAGACAAGTGATCAAAATAGCGAGCTCTTCAGATAAAAATGGGGACCGTGCAGACTTCCTGGCCCCAGTTGTTCAAAAGATGGATAGCAATATCCACTGGATAAATCACTATTCAGTGGATAAGTATTTGGAAAACCAATTGCGCTATTCACTGGATAGAGATTTATTCGATGCCATAGCGTTATCCACCTTTTGACCAACTGGGGCCAGAAGGGTAAGACCTTAATTAAAACGATTATAGAGTAATTTAGTCAGGTTGTCATAGACGCTGGACTGGATTATGCTCAGGATATAAACGAAATTACTGCAAACCTTTCTTTGAACAGCCACTTGGTGAAATGTCGGTTGATTTTTGTCACCAACAGAAGGATCCTAATTAACATTAAATAAACAATTAATCTCCTTGATAAATGTATAAATAAAAAGCAACCTGTAATTAATTAGTCTGCTAGATAACTCTGTATCGAACTATTTCGTTTTTCTTTCTCAAGAAGTTGCCTAGTAGTTAAAAGAATCAACGGTTGAAACGTTTCTGTAGGTTCAGCAAGGAACGATTCGCTAGTTTAGGGATTTAAATAAAAGCTTCCTAAATTGCGAGGTACCAAACATACAAAATCTGTAGAACAATTTGATTGTGAATCACCTGTTGAAAAATTCGTATACAGTCATCTCCGGAAGATGTCGCTATGGCATCAGTGACAAATGACCTAAGATAAGAAAAACAATTACAAAAGATGCAAAATCTTGGGCAGATCCCATAAATCTGTTGCACTGTTGTAAGCCTTTGCTTTTGTAAACATGGTGAAATTTTGAAGAAGTGAAGGATTCTCTCTTTTTCTCCACATCCACACCCTCACACGTCTTCATAATCTGCCATTCACTCGTCACTCTTTAAATGGTAGGAACCTTACGATACCGCACAACGGTAACGCTGGTAACAATGTCTTTGGAAACTGGCTTCGTATCCCTCTAAGCTTGTTCGTGATTATTTCAACTCGTCCAGTTACTCAATAGTTGGGAAAGTAAGTTGGAGCTTAAGAGAGGGAACAACGTCGGAATATTTATATCGTCTTGCCGTTCACCTCCTCTATCTAAAGAACCTAAAACTTCGTCATTTTACATCGCAGTTGTCAACGCAAAACAAAGTAAATCTGAACCGTGGAAACAATAGTTTTTTGGTTGCAACCATGAGGTGAACAGAACAGCGGGCCACAGACTGAATAAAGAATATGAAAAGTACGTTTGATTACAACTCACCAGTGAACATCATAAACGGTTCGGTCGTGATAGCCAGATAAGACGCAGACTGTCTTCCATTTCGGGTCACTTCCGTGGGTTGGCACACCTTCATTTAACGTAAACACAGGCAAAAAAAATGCCATCGTTAGTGGTAAAGGTAATGGGGCATATGGCTAGGAAAGAGGGAAGTAAATTCATAGAACTTAACATCGTAGCTCTTTTGCGGAAGTGAATGGTAAACACTCTGTTTTGGCTACGAAGGGTTTGTTGTGCACAACGCAACTTGCTGCGGCTGCATTTCCTTTGTTCCGAAAGATTTTTCGCTCGGTATCACGGATAACAAGGCCGATGGCGGATAAGATAGTATAGGGAATTGAACGCAAGAGTCGGAGAGCACGACGAATTCTTCTGCAGAAAAGGCGGTAACGGTTGAAGTATATTCGCACTTATGCGCTCAATGCAACCACGCCCTGTAATAGAGTTAAACAAATACCTTCTTCATTTCCAGGTTCATAACACTGCCATATTCTTAGAGTTTTGTCATCGCTACACGAAACTGAAAAAAAAAAAATACAGGAAAAGGAAATAAACCAAAATGGTTAAAATGCGGATCCTATCCAGCTTATCTGGCCACTTCCTGGTCAGATTGTTACAATAAATGAGCAGTGAAGAAATAGATGTTGAAATATAATATATTTGTCCTTAATATAACATTGAAAGAATTTTCACCTAAGGACGTGATTCCCTTTTATAAGTATTTTTAGACTTCCTAGTTGCATCTGACAATAACAAAAACGATAGTTAAGGCGTTGGACCACATCTGATTTGGGTTAAGTGCGAGAAAAAAGAGTCTAAAAGCTTAAACGTGTACTCTTTTTTCGAGAGAACTGACTTATAACGATGTTTAACTTAAAAACAATATGAAAATTTACATGAAGAACCCCAAAGGTAGATTGAGTGACAGCTGTTGTTTGTTAAAAGATTTCTGTCAAAAGCTGTTGTTTATATCCTTTAAAAAAACTGTGGAAATAAATGTAATCACAGCAATTCTAAGGCAGTATTACACATATCAAAACGTGCGACTGTGATAACTAACAGAAACCTCAGTGGTACCAACCCATTCTGTCACCAGTTTTGTCAAAACTAATAGCCCACACTGTAGACTCGTGACCTTCTAAAGTATCAAAACAAGACCTGCAAATTAAAAGAACACACAACGTAACGTTATCAATGCTCTTTACTATACCCTCGTAGTTATCATCGTCAGTATTATCAAACCTCAGACCACATGCTTAACTAACAAGAAACCGACCACAATTTTCTATTGACAACCCTCCTATGAATCACGGAAATGACGTCAAATGTTCAAAAATATATTTGTAGTTAAACCGCTGAGAATTTTGGGACAATTCAGTGAATTGAAGATACAGTCAAGCCTGTATTACAAGGCCATCCTTTGTTATGTGCTCACTTACCAAAGTCTCGAAAAACATTTCGCATAATTACTGTCAAACCCATGGTCCGAACAGGCTATTTTTTTATTGTCTTCGCCTATGCTTAACGGTCACTTTGTCAAGAGGGCATTAAGTTGGCCATGTCTTCAGGGTGGCCACTGTGTTTCCTATCCTGCCAGACGCAAAATGCTCGGGTAACAGTTAAAAAACGGACAAAAAATAAGCATATCCTGTACGCGTTGTGACAATTTAATCTTTCCAAAATATTATCAGTAAAGAAATAACTTACCAGTCATCGTCATCTTCTTTGTAAAGTTTTATTGTATCGTCGTAGCTGCACGATGCTAAAATCTGAAATCAAGATAAGGGGTTACCGATGACATAAACTTACAAGGCGAATATGGCCCATTCTTATGATTTTCATAAGTTTTCTAAGTTTTCATATGCAGTCTTAAGTGGAATCGGTATGGAATATCAAACAAGTCACATGCTGCTTCTTCGCTGAGAGCTTTTCACTAACAAATTGTAGACAGAGAAACCCTAGACAGTTATGCTAAACTGATAATTCATAACTATAGAGCACTCTCTCTGAGCGATTCTTGTCTCGTACGGTTACGTCTGCCTGTGGTGGCCATTCCTCCCACATCATCCTGTTTTAATAAGGTTTAGCGTTTTCGGCAAGATTAATCCTGAAATCCGAGCGTGAGCGGTGATCTGGATACTCTCACCCTCTCACCCAATGCTTCCTGTGACAACGCGGCGTCAGTTTCCGGCTTCACACGGTCAACGAAATGCTTAAGCACTAGGCTGAGCTTGAATATTAAAAACAAAAAGAAAGCTTTGCTGTTGAAGTTTCCTTTTAAGGATGAAAGAGAGTAGTATAGTACGCAACGGGTACTCCTCCTATAAAGCTGGAATGTTCCTTCACAGGCTCATCAGACTGAGGTAGGATACTTCATTTCAGGGATAAGGTTCGCTTCAACTCGTTTGTCGTTGACCGGCAACCTAGTTATGCCAGTTGTGTTTCTTTCCGTGCAAATAATATTAAGGAGGACGCAGGCAAACTATTCTACGAACACTAACCACCAAAGATGTTTGTGACGACTTTTCATCCTGCTTTAGCTTGATTTTGATTCAAAGAAAACAGGCCGTGAAAATGGCACTAATTTTTTCAACCCAACAATGATGAGATTCCAACTTAAAAGATGGAACTTACCGGTGCACCCTATACTACTAAGGTGGTGACTTGCAGGCACAGGTACAATATTCTTAAAACACTAACCTCCACATGCTTGTGAAGATTTTTCCTTCAGTTGTAGCATGATTTTGTATTTAAGAACATAGGCCGTGACATCATTGGCGTTAATTTATTCCACCAAACAATAATGAGACTCCAAGTTTAAAGATCGGACTCAATCTCTACTTTTCCCCCCCGCTCCCTTCTCCACTGTTTCCTCGTTTGTCCTCAGTTCAGCTTTCGCGCGGCTTTGTTTCCTACTTCACGAACCACAAACGAAAAGCACACCAAAAAGCCACCTGTTTTGAAACTAACCAAGGTAAATATATATTTTGTAAGTCATGCCTTTTACACGAAGCAGAAATTTTTCTTATGTCATATTTTACATCGATCACGAAGTTAGTGTTATACCGATCGCTGTAAATCAAGAGAGGAGAGTAGAAGTTTACCATCATATTCAGTCTCATGTGCTGAATCAAAATCGTATTATAAGGGTCTGAATGGGGTTTAGTGTTAAGTGATATTTGCCTATAATTTCAAGCGTTTTATTGTTGTTGTTTTTGTGGTTGTTTACTGTTCCCGGAAAAAATAATGTTAAGTGTTTGGAGGATTTTTCGTGAAAAGCCCCTAGTATTTCAGCATTGTCAGCTGCTCCTGGGAAATCGGTAATAAAAGCTAAAAGGGGCTGTGGCAGTCTCCGGACATCTACCGTGTTCGGCAATCTTGCGTAGTCTTCGGAAATCTTCTGAAATTGTCGGGAATTGTTGGAAATTGGCCGAAAACTCCTTGATATACTACACAAAATAATATTGGCCTTTTAGGAGCCGTTTTTATTTCTTTCTCTGCTTTCTAACGTTTTTGTTTAATTCTTTCTCTGCTTTCTAAAAAAAATACTGTTTCAGTGAAATTTTATTACTGTTAGTGTTAAAATGCGCAAAATTTAACTGTTTCATATATGTTACAGAGCCAAAACATTAAGTGTTTTAACACATAGTGTTTTTTTAATTGACTCTGGTCACTCCCATTCAGACACTCCATTGTATTCTTAGTAGCATTATATCAGGGGAACCCAAAGACCGAATGTTTCTAAATACGTCGGTAGCGTCCCAAATGGTTTTTCTACGCTTTAGAAGTCAGTTTGGTTAATTTGGAGCTTTTACTGGAACACCTATACGGCCGCCGTTTTGGCACATAAATTTGGCCGACATGACGTCATATGAAAACCCTCTTTACCCGAAAATGGCTAATGCACCGTCGAACCTGTAAAAACCAGTTGCTAAGAAGTGATATAACTAAAACCCGAAGGGACCTCAATTTACCCCTTAAGTTTCTTGTTCAACAATAAAAATGCAAGCAATGAAAGTTTTAGTTTAAATTTACTTATGTCTAACTCATTTCCGGTATGATTAAAATTAAAGGGACGCTATGAAGTGTTCACGTACTATTTGATTCATTAACTTAGGGTCTGGGACGGTTTTTTGGGGGGGAAGTAATCATACAGGGGCACCCAACGAGGATATAGTTCAAAACCACTTAACATAGCATTGTTGAACGCATTTTAGTATTCAAACGGTAGATATAGGCATATTTTTATCCCCTAAAAACTTTTCATCTGTTCGGATTTCCTAGCTGAAAATCTAGTGATCCGAAAATTATAGGGATAAAAACTTACCTTCTCGAAAATTTCAGCCAGGAAAAGGCTCCCGAAAATTCTAGGTGGCCTTTTTTAGGGTCAAAATCCGTTAAAAATGAGTAATTATACCATTTTGTAGATGTTCGAAAATCCTAGGAGAGGCAGGCAAGCAAGAAATTTTACAACTAATGCTCCGAAAATTCTAGATCTCAAATCGTCTTCCGAACAGATATTTTCCCGAAAATTGCCGTTTGGTGCCCCTGATCATAGGTATTACAAGGATTTGCCACCGAATTAAAATAGTAATTAACCTATACCTTTTCCTGTCATGAATTCGATGTAAAACAAATGTTTGTTTTAATAAGCTTCCGCAGTTACCTTTCTTGTCATAAAGTATGCTTCATAAAGGTTTTCAGCAAAATGTTGTGTAAATTTAAGAGTATTGCATGGTTTGATTTTTCAGCCTTCGCCTGAAATTTCTTCTAAAATTTCCACGAAATAACTATTATCAGCTATTATCTTTATCAGTAGAGAATTTTTATCTTAGTTTCTCGTGTTTTCGGCCGAACTCATACAGTTGGTAGTTCTCTAATTAAAACATGGGATATCTGAAAATTCTCAGGTTATTATTAAGACTAATATTTAATTTGTTGCAATTTCTGCCCAGTGTCAGTTAAACTTGAGACGCGTGAGACGGCTACAACGCGGGCTAGCTTGACCTGAACGACTGCATTTATGTAATTTGTACCCTGAATTTTTCGATCATGTACGTAGTTAATTCATGAAAAAGATTAGCTAATCATTTTTGATAAAGTAGTTCAGTTATCATCTTCTGAAGATCGAGTTCTTAACATGACTGCAAGTGCAGTTTTGCCTGTTTACGTTATTGTAAGAATTATATTTTGAAGCCAATACTTATAGTAATTTTCATATTGCTCGCCTTGTTCTTTATTGACTGGACAACCCAGGTGTTTTTAAAGGCAAAATTTAAGAAAGAAAATTATTCAGTTTATAAAGTAAACAGCTCGAAGTTTCGTGCCAAGTGTCTTCTAGTCATCAGGGACGAGTTACGTCAGTGTAAACGTTAATTTGAGTTAAGCAAGACTGGGTTTAATGGTAATTAGATAAAGGAGGTACCACGGCGTTCATCAGAGAGAATTGTACCAATTATAAATATAAGAGAGGAGTAAAAAAAATCGTCTTTAAAAGAAGCTGGTAGTTCCGCGTTTAAAATTTTGTTTTAACCTTCTGTTTGTTTTTGAAACAGTCTTCGGATCCCCCCGTTGGAGTTGTCTCCCTCTAAATCTGATACCTCTTTAGTTCTAATTTTCAAAATATTTAGCTTCTTGTTTTACTTCATTTTAACTTCAACTGAGTTTTTTAGAATTGAATCAAATGACTTAATATTGTGAAATTTTCACAAAAATTGCCATCGTGCTTATTTTTCAAGATTATTCTTTTACGTCTTTTATTGTTTTTTTTTTAACGGTTTTAACTGTTATTATTACACTCATTTTATTAATGGAAGAGAGAACAGTAAAACGCCGCGAAGAAGAACCTAGTTTTTTTGAAGTTTGGCAAAATAGATTTTTATTGTTAGTAAAGTAAAGTAAAACTTTATTTACACAGGATAGCCCATTCAGCTTTAACGCTGGTGTCCATAGGGCGGGGCACTGTATCTTAGAAAATTTATTTACATCAAGAATTTGGGAACTATTACATTTAAAAAGCCTAATAAAAATACAATAATAGAATTTAAGAACTACATTAAAAAGCCTAAAAATACAATGCAAAATTACATTTAAAGCCTAAAATATAATAAAATATCAAGGTTATGATAAAAAGAAATGTCTTGCTCGGCGGCAGAACGTTTGAATGTTTTCATTCTTCACAATGTTTAAAGGGAGTTTGTTAAAAATTTTTGCGCCAGTAAAAAGAAAGGTCCTTTTCCCAAAACTCTCTTTAACGTTTGGTAGGGGCAGCCTTAAACTTTGCCTTGTGGAATAATTGTGAATGTTCGAAAATCTAGTAAAATGTAATAAAAAATAAGTAGGAACTAATGAGTGAAGACAGAGAAAGACGAGTTCGGCTTTGGGGTAAGAGCGTCTGTTGGAAAGAGTCGGCCAGTGCCACTGCTCTATTGCTTCAGATGAGCGAGAGCAACGTGTGATAATCCGTGCAGATCTATTCTGTAGGCGCTGTAGTCGATCTATATGTTGCTGTAGAAGGTTACTCCAGGCAATGTCACAGTAATCAAATAATGGAAAATCTGAAAGCGTTGCATTGTTAACAGGTACTAGTGTTGCTGCCTCTTTTGTGACGAAATTTCTAACACGGCCCAGGATACTAACTCTTGACGCCATTTTTTTTACACACACACACACACACATAGTTTGGAGTACTTATTGGAAGTTTAGGCTAAATAGGTTCTTAATTAGGTTCTTAATTTTTATGAAGAAGGATACTGTTGTTGATTACAAGAAATTGCTATAAATGGTATTTGTCCTTCATAATCAAGGCAGTTATTTACCAAAAATCTAACAAAACTACTCAAGGAAATTAAGGCATGGCAGGAGGCGATTTTCTCTCAAAACGTCGAGGGGTGGTCTATATTTTGAGGATTAAGGCCTATAGGGACAAAACTTGAGTAAAATAATGACTCTCAAAAGTTTATGCTATTCCGAGTAAAAAAAAATATCTAAATTAGGTCACGTGACCTTTAACGGCCATTTTGCGCGAGAAAAACTTTAATTAGCAATGGCACCATTTAATTAATAATAGCAGTCAATCAAAGAAACTGCAACCAAACATGTCCCTAGATGAACGATTAGACATCTGTGCCCGGGCTTTGTACGTTGAATAAACTATTGCAAGTGTAAATAAATGGAATTTTGCATTAGTACCCAGTCCCCTTGTCAAACGATTTTTGAATTTCGGTGCTGTCTAAAATATTAACTTAAAAAGCCCGGACAGAGAAATAATATACCCACTAGTCTCATAACTATGACGATAACTGCAACTTCCAGAAAGTAATTAAAAATGGTGCCATATTGCTAAAAAGACTTTTGTGCTTTTGTGCCTTAATAGGTCACGTGACAATTAGTGACTCCAATCATCATTCAAAGTTATTAATCTTATACCCAGGAAGTTTGTTTTCAAGTTATTTTGCGCTATATTGAAAGCTTAAGAAGTTAGACCACTATGGTGGCCGACAACTAGACTACGAGTAGTCCCTCATTTTTCCTCAGGTATAGTAGAGCGAGCGAAACGCGAGCGGGCGTGTCGCCTTTTCTCGCGTGGGGTGATTTTCACGCGCGCTTGCGTTTTGCTCGCTCTACTATCCCTGAGGAAAAATGGGGGATTACTCGTAGTCTAGCCGACAACTGCCCGGCATTCGTCAAAACGAAATAAATTTGTAAATTTTAGATTGAACTTTAATTATTTTGTATTGAAAATAAAGCGAGAGTAGAACGTCAAATTATTTTGCTTTTCATTGAACTGGAAATAGATTCATTTTGTTAATTTTCAAAACATAACATTTTTGTTACGAAATGAAAATAAAAATAAAAGTGAAATAAAAGCAGAAGTAAAACTAATTTGTTCACGGCCGGTAACTGCCATTCAAAACAGAAAAAGTAAAATTATTATGTTCATGGCCGGTAACTGCCATTCAAAACAGGAAAACTAAAATTAATATGTTCATGGCCGGGAACTGCCGTTCAAAAAAAAAAAAAAAGGAAAGAAACCTGAGACTTTTGGCGGGAGACAGTAGTCTTACGTTTCTTTCTTTCTCTTTTTATTGAACGGCAGTTCCCAGCCATGAATAGATTAACTTTAGTTTTTCTGTTTTGAAAAGCAGCTAGTTCCCGGCCATGAACATATTAATTTTACATTTCTGTTTTGAACGGCAGTTCCCGGCCATGAGCATATTAATTTTACATTTCTGTTTTTAACGGCAGTTCCCGGCCTGGGCCATGAACATACTAATTTTAATTTACTTTTTCTGTTTTGAATGGCAGTTCCCGACCGTGAATATATCACTTACTTCTGCTTTTATTTCACTTTTATTTTCATTTCGTAATAAAAATGTTTTGTTTTGTGTTGAAAATGATAATAATTAAAAAAGAATCTATTTTCAATTCAATAGAAAAGAAAATAACTTTGCGTTTAACTTTTGCTTCATTTTCAACTCAAAATAATTAAAGTTCAATGTAAAATTAACAAATTAATGTCGTTTTGACGAATGGCAGTTGTCGGCCACTATAGGTTGTCTCACCTAGCTAAATGCCGCCGTATCGTAGGTTTTTACTGAATACACAATTTGTTAGCAAAACAATCAGCTCTCAGTTCACCTGACTGTGAATATTAAGCCCTTCATGCAGGAAAAAAATAATAAAAGCCGTTATTTTTAGTAAACATTCAGAATCACTTTATAGACTGGCACAACTTTCGCAAAAGAGAACTTCTGTCGGCAAATTCGCGGAAAAGTCGGAAAATATACTTTTTTAGATCAAAATTATGCGCTTATACTTTGTTTAACAAGCTTGGCTCGATCATTTAGACCTTCGAATTGGCTGTCTATATTGCACTCATATGTTATGACATGAAAGCGAGGCATATATAGATGTGGTATGATGAATAATATTCTAGAATGGTTTAAAAGTAGTCAAATCAGCAGGTGACAGATACAATATATTTTTAGCCACCTAAAAAGTTGTACTCTGAAAAAGAAAAGCAAGAGAAAATTATTTGGACGGACAAGTTTTATGAAGGTTCAAAGGGTATAAAAACATTATGATAACTGCATGCAACACCACTTGGATTTTTTGTTGTTGTTGCCTCTATTTCATTTAATTAAAAGCGGTACATGAGCACCTCGTTTCCATGCACCACGAAAGAGGGGACTTCCAATAAAGCCGTTTTGGAGCAACTTCTCCCACTGAGACTTTTTGAGAGTTTTGAGGAAAAGAAAAGTAGTTTACGTTCTAGGCCTAGTGGTTCGAAAGTTCGATAAGGTTTTCTACTGGATAAACCCGATCTCTATCCAGTGGATAAGGCAATTGGTCTTTCCCTAATACTTATCCGCTGGATAACGGTATCCAACGTTTGAACAACCGACGTCTAGGGAATGCAGTGTGTTAAGGGTTTTTGTCAAACTTCTAAACTATTATACCAACTATCGGTCAATCAGCTCTGAACCCTACATAGGGGGATATCTTCATATTTTGTTCCCGAATCGTAGTTGGGACGCGTGGGACTTGAGTGGTGAGTTGCAGAGGTAGTGAGCGGAGGCGGAGGCCAGGTGGCCTTATGGCAGAAAAGTTTTTATTTGACCAAAATACATCAATCTTTAGTTTACAGTAATATACGTGATATTCGTTGCAATTGTATTTTGTCTCTTTGTGACCAGATAGCTATAAAAAATTGCGCTAAAACTTTTCTTAAAAATATTTTAAGAAATCGTTTAAAAAAGTCAAAAACTCTACGACGTTCCGACGTTCTCGGACCTTATTATCAGGTAAAAACATACAGTATGAATGTTCTGTATAAATAGAAGAAAAGCAATAGCTCATTGGAGTCTCTCTGAGTAGGCTTAAAGTCTTTGATGAATAACATTTAGTAAACGAGGCAGTGAAATTGACGCAATTTTTTCTGTTTTTTATAGCTAAATGTTTTAAAAAGTCGCTTCTTTTTAATGTGACCATTTAACATTTCTTGTCCATTAGGACTGACAAGACCGTAAAATAAGGGAGCAGTATTGTTAACTGCCAAATAGATATGATGTCATTTTAAATGGCCACCCAATTTCAGCGACGCATAAACGAGGTGCCCGCTGTCTTTGGTCAAAAATTTTCATTTTCATCAAACTGGTGCTACTGCATGGTCCAACAAACACCTGTCTTTTTGTGTTTCAGTATCTATTAACTCTAATTTTGAACCCTCTCTGAGCCTGTATTGCTTAGTTTATCCTTTTAGTTTAGTTGCGTTGAAATTGCTGTGGGTATTTGCCATCAAATATCCTGGTGAATTTCTGTTTTTCTCTAGAACACATGCTCATTAAAGAAAGCCTTGATGACTAAAAATCCGCAATTGAGTGATTATAAGTACACGCACTAATGCATGCAAAAAACGCTACTGAACAAGATAGCTTTTAAAAACCGAACAACAGAGCCACTATTATAAACCAATGAAAGTGATCAAGTTGCCGGATCTATACTTAAATGTTCTTTTTTTTTGCAAATTAGTATCATCTGTAAATTACTAGATACAAATAAAGTTGTTTCAGTTGTTTGATCAGTCAAAACAATAACAACAACAACAAAATTGGAGAACGAGCTGAGCTGTTTCTTCAATATAAGAAGTAGCCATTTTGCCCGGCCACACATTTCTTTTTTTAAACACAACAAACAGTACTTTGCAATTTTAAATGTTTCAATTAGCTGTGGCGTTGAAACTACTTTATTATAAGATACTAATTTTAATTCATAAGATAAAGACGCCTGTGGGCGTATGGGCTTCTTCCATCAATCTTAACTCGTTATAGCTATCTCAATGTTGACATTGACAGTTTCCCGTTCCTCTAACTTACACCTTTGTTCTCGATTTGTTGGGTCAGATAACGATGAGTATAACAGCAGTTCATAGTTAACATTTGTTCATGTAATAACAAGGCGCTGAAACTATCTACAACAAAAACTTAGCTTCATACTTTCGAGCTGCTTATTAAAAAGGTGGCAAATGAAGAAATTAAAAGGGAACCAGTCCCTGGAACTGAGCAAAGGACATATTTGAACACTTTTCAGCAAACCGGTATCTCGTCTGTATCAAGAGGCCATTATTTGAGGCGATCAGTGTCTGAATTAAGCACAGACGTCCTTGCACTCCGCTCATTTCCAGATAAGTCAGCCAGGACAATACTTGTCAAAAAGGTAAGAAAGGACCCCAGTAAGCAGAGAACTCGGTGAAAAAAACAGAATGTTAAGTTATGTTATAGCGGCGCGGTATAATTTAGGTGCAATGGTGACAACAATTACGATAAAACTAAGGAAACCCTAAACTCTTCTAGTAGGCAGCAGAGTTTTCGAATCGTGAAGTTGCTGAACAGTTTAACGGATGAATTTAAAGAGGTTCTTAGATTCGCATCTAGAAGACAATGGACTTTGAAGTTGCTACATTGTATTTGGATACTTCTTTTGTATCAACGAGAGGTGTCATTTCTTCCAGGCTGAGTCTCAACGAAAAATTTGAACCTTAATAATGTTATGTTACAGAAAAAGGCATCACTCCCAGAGTTTATAAAGGGATCTTATATGGTGGTCCTAACTTTTGAGTTTGCATGTTGATGAAATAGGATGGTCATGACCATTCAAATAAATTTCTTAATTCGACAGTATTTTAACTTGTTACGATTTGGTTTTCTCCATTTTACAAAATGAAGATCGGAAATCTTGTCGAATTGACTTCGGCAACTTCTGAGAGTGAAAGGTCTACATAACACATCATTTCTTTAGTGAAATTGTTTGTTTAATTTATGTATGTTTAACAGAAGCGCAAGATAGTTCAACGAAGAACACCATTTACTCAGTACTAAAAAAATACAGCTTTTAGCGAATAGTAGCTGTCGATCAAAAAGGGTCGTATTTTCGAGGAGGAGGGCTAATTGAACGAGGAAGTCTATAACTAGAATTAATTTCAGCAAAAGGTCAGTAGCATGTAGAATGTCAGAGAATGTAAAGAGAGGTTTCAGTTTGCCACAAGCAAAGTGCTTTGAATTCGTTCAAATTAAGAGACTGGATTATTTAGAACAATGAATCATATAAATGTCACATTTTCTTATGCCCGCTGTTTTCAGGGAGCGATCTTAAGTATTTAAGCTCTATTGCAAAACCTGAACTTACTTACCAACCATTTTGGTTAAATTGCTTTTGGGGGTTAATATAAGAGCTAACATCATTCGAATGGAGAAGCAAATCATTACAATCAACGACGAGTGTTCTGGCTGCCGCACTCAATTTTACTCACCTCGTAGCGAGTTTACAGTATTTACGACATAATCGAGATCTCGCAAGTGCTAAAATAAATGGAAAATTTCATCTTTCTTTCTGTGGTTTAACTTTTGAACAAAATTCCCGCTCCGTGACAATAGGCCTAGTATGGGAGTCGTTCGCTCTGGGTTATGGGCTCCTGTGATGAATTACTAGCTTTTTTAAAAAAAAAATTCTAGTGCAAAAGCAAAATTAAAAGAGGAAGTGAATTGGGCTTTAGCTTCATTATCAGGTAAAAAAATACAGTATGATTATGATCTATAAATATACAATAAAAGCAAGTGCTCATGCACGGGAGTCACTCTGAGTAGGCTTAAGTTCTTTGATGAATAACATTAAGTAAACGAGGCAGTCAAATTGACGCAATTTTTTATAGCTATTAATGTTTTAAAAAGTCGCCTCTTTTTACTGTGACCAGATAAAAGCATGTTAACATTTCTTGTCCATTAGGACTGACAAGACTGTAACATAAGGGAGCAGTATTGTTAACTGCTAAATAGATATGGTGTCATTTTCAATGGGCACCCAATTTCAGCGGCGCATGAACAAGGTGCCCGCTGTCTTTGGTCAAAAATTTTCATTTTCATCAAACTGGTGCTACTGCATGGTCTAACAAACACCTGTCTTTTTTTGTCTCAGTATCTAATAACTCTAATTTTGAACCCTTTCTGAGCCTGTATTGCTTAGTTTATCCTTTTAGTTAGTTGCGTTGAAATTGCCGTGGGTATTTGCAATCAAATGTCCTGGTGAATTTCTGTTACTAGTAGCAGTTTCTTCGCCTGCATTGAGAACGAGACAGACTGCGGAGAATAATCACTGTATACTGTCGATCAAAAGGGTCGATTTGTCAAAGGCCAATTGAAAGTGGAAGTATATATGGCTTACGACAATCTGTGAATCTTGAGATATTTGCATATGTGGGTTGTTTCACGCAGAAAATAGAGAATATTACATGGCCGCATGGAGGAAAGATAATTGGCCCTCGATGTTTCGTTTCAAGGTAAAAACTGTTTTGAATTCTGCAGGAGCGGCCGACGGCTAATTGAATAAATATAAAGGAAAGGTAGTTTTTTCCCGTCACTTTAAAGTAAGGTGTAAAGCGCGCACGACGTTAGTAAAGTTATGGTTTCCTTTGTTTCAGTTCCCAATGGTGATGAACTCGAAATTTTCGCGCACGTACTAGCCTCCCACGCAGACGTTCTTAGGGGTTCGTGACGAACCCCTAAGAACGTCTGCGTGGGAGGCTACACACGTACTTGCAAAAGTTCGTCCTGGTAACGGAGATGGAATGTTCATTTTTTCTATCCCAGGATAGGCCGTCTTTTCTTGATCTTGCAGTCAGATCGCAATTTTGCGAAAGATATTGCGGCGAGATCTCGAAAACCGGGCCAGCGCAAGCGCTTTACCTGGATCTCATGAAGAAGGAGCCCTTAGCTGGCGGTTTTGTTCAACACCGACTAGACTTCCTAAAAAAAATGTGTGACTAATGAATAAAGAGTTTAGTTCCTAAGAAATCGTTGTCAAGCCCCAGTGTGGTTACTAAGAAACAAAATTATAATCACTTATCATCGTTGTCGTAAAGTTTTCACTTTTTTGCTGGGTAGAAGCGATTTGTCACCAAGCCCATTTATGGGAGTCAGTCAACAAAAATAGCAAAGCTCGAGTTTATTTTCATATGGAATTTCTGCGCCCGTTTCTCAGACATCATCTGGCGGGGAAACCAGTGGTAGCGTCGCTTAATGTCGGCTGTTTCTGAGGCTAAGATGCAATATTTTCTCTCACCTCACTCGTGATATCTGATGATCTTAGAGGACGTTTAATGGTGATCATTTTCATGACACTGCTACAACTGGTGACACTGAATTCCTGACTCAGTGATTCATAAGAAGGAGCGCCGACTTTTTTAGGTTTACCTCTAATAAGTAAGTAAAATATTCAGCTCCAGTATAAACCGAAGTTGAATATAAATTTTTTTGCCCATATTTTCTCCCAACAAATTCATCCTACTCTAACCTCAAGCGCTACTTTTGATTTTTTTTTTCCAAAGGTGAAAGCAAGACTTTTGATTCAATTTTTGGGACGACATCAAGGAATAGCTGAATTAAGATTGAGGTGAGCGCCCTTTGAATATATCTCCATTGCAGATCTTTGAGGATTTGAAGTTATTCTTTAAAGTTCACCTCTTAACTTTTCTCTTCCAAATAAGCAACCCTTGCTTACTCAGCGAATTCTTTTCATAGGTAGCCGAGCCTGAAAGAAGACGAGAATTAAAAGGTGGGAAGCGAAAAGAAAAATCCACGATGTTTTCCTCACCCGAGTGCATTTTCTGGTTTGCTGCATTCCTTGCCGTGGCTGTTGCTATAGTAACAGTGAATCTCCTATCAATCATTCTTTTCATAAAAAACAGTAATCTTCGCACACGTGGCATTTACTTGGTTATAAACTTAACCGTGGCTGACATTTTGGTTGGGGGACTTTCTACTATAAATCTACTCTTAATTAATACACACAATGGATGCAAAACTGGGATTGTAAGGTTACCTTGGGAAGGGCACATGATAACTTGGTTTATTTTCTATTGGTTTCCTCTAACCTCTCTTACAAGCATAACTGTAATTTCGTTAGAGCGGATGCATGCAACATTTCGTCCATTCAGGCATCGCGTTATCAAAAAATGGGTCTACGGAGTAACAATTTCTGTGGTCTGGGTTTTAGCTGGGATGATATCAACTGCCATTTTAGTGCCTAGATTATTCGGCCAAGAATGGTCACACAGGCAGTTTTTATGGCAATCATATTGCTTATTATGCCTTTTAGTTACCTGTGCTTGTTACGCCTCGATTATTGTCAAAATTTGTTGTGGGGCGCGTCCTCAGCACCATGGTGCAACCCGTAGGCAAAGAAAAGTGACTGTCACGTTACTCATCATGACTATTGTATCGTTACTGTTGTGGCTACCATATGCTATAGGTACCTTTGTTTTCTATACAACTGATAGCATTCGATCGCTTTCTTACACAAAAATAATGCGATTGAATATGTCTTTACTGCTTTTATTTTATACAAACTCGTTTGTTAATCCCGTGGTTTACACAATAAGAATGCCCAGGTTTAGGAAAGCTCTCCTGTTATTATTTTCACGTCGGCAAAGACAAATTGCTGCTGTTTTTCATCTTCAAACTCGGTAAGGTACCTCGCTTGGCAGTGATCACAGGTCACAGAAGTCGGCAAAACACCCGGTTGACCTGAATGCATCCAAACCTCTTATTTCAGCCATTGGTCCCTATAACCTGCACTACCTATTGTTTTCAGGGATGGGGGCATTGTTATGTCACCATCCCTATTGTTTTCCCAGTCAATTACAAACCTTGTTTGGAATAGGTGCAGGTCGGCCCCCTATAGCACAACCTAGTTCCTAGGCGTTCTCGGCTCGATCGGTCAATGATTATTTGCCCTGTTAGTGAAAAAAGTAATTTTAGGCATAGAGCATTTGAAAACAAGAACGTGTGCAAAATGTGGGGGTGGGGGTTGAAGGAAAGGATTTATGGGGTATGAGAAAATAGTCAAAACCTATTTTCGTGTATAACTTGTCAAACTCGTCAATGGTCAGTTAATAGAGATGCTTCCGTCGAAATGTGCTTCAGAACTTTATAGTATAATAATATGCATGTACGTTCGCAATCATAGTTCTAATAATCATCGCACTTTGTAATACCTGTCGCAATTTGTAATAAATCTGTCAAAATTTTCAGGAACTGTTCATTGCACTTTGTAATAAACTGACTAAGCTGTCGCAATTTGTCATAATTCCATCGTACTTTGTAATGAACCAAATTTGTAAAAACGGTCCATTGCAATTTGCTATAAACTAGGCTGTTCCAATTTGTCATAATTCCACTCGACTTCCACGTGCCTCCGGTCAGGGCTGACGTGTCTCTGAAACCTTGGCTAAATTTTACTTAACCTTTACTTTACATTTCAAACGCTCATTATGCCGCCTAAAATTGACAGGACAGGAGTAATCTGAATAGATAGACATACATATTTCTTATGGGCTTAGTTTATAAAATTTGTTATCTACATTTATCCACTCCTTTCAAGTCCGCCATACTTAATTTCCAGTTTTGTTGTTTTTTTCTTTTTCTCTCTTTTAGTTTATTCAGTTCTGTTTGTAATTGTTCTATTACTTACAAGAACTAATTTGTTCGGTCTATTATTTTTTATTTAAAGTACATGTAGTGTAGTTACCAGATTTAGTGTGTACGTAAATATTCATGGGAACTAGGGGACAAAAAAGTTTACTTGGCCTCTAGATACCAAAGATTATATTCTAACCAGTAAAAATAAATAGGAACAGCAATAAGGGATGAAAAATGTACCAGGAAATGTAATGCAGGAAAGGTGTGAATACATATTATCGCACTTACAAGTAAACTTTAGTTATCTGATATATTCTCTTGTTATGAGATTCGCTTTTATGAGTTTGATCTCTGTCAAGGAGGTAAGCAAGTAGGGCATAGGTAAAGAAAGTAAGTTAGTGTAGAAGTGTGACGTGACAAAAACTTCAATTTTAAGCATTTGTTGAATGAGGCTGAGTTTGATCTGAGGGATTATGAAGATCGAGATCTCCATAATTCTTTAGATCGTAAGAAAGCCGAATCCAATAACTGTTTCATTTGTTATTGATTTCCAGTTTAAAAAGAAGGTAAAACATGCTTACCTCGATCGATGTTAAGTTCCCCTCTTCATTTGCCTGTTTCTCTGCAAGTTCAGGAGAAAAAGGGATGATCCGTTTTGCAGATATTCTCCAAATAGTAAATATCTTCTGTCGAGTTGTCAGGGTATTCTTGCTGTTTTTGGTAGTATTTCGTCTTCAGTTCAAAACGTGTGAAATATCCCGCCATTCTTGTACTGCTC